ATTAATCATTGCCATTCTTTGCCAGTGACGTTGTCACTCCTAATGTCTATGATATTATGGTAGTTACTCTGTAATTATACAGCTACATTTGTAGCAGACAATGGCAACATAATATGTAAGTAAAGAATTATAATTATATTATATATATTCAAATTTATTTGTTTAGGATCTGTATCAATGTATTTTAAAAAGAAGTTCTCAAACTATGACAAACGAAAATAATGGAGAAGGTAAAAACATATGAGAACAATATCTAGAATGCTTTTCATTTTCAATCTGTCCTCACCCCCTTTGATCGTCTTTAGTTTCCTTAATTATATCGTGCCCTCTGCAATCCATCGTACATGAGGGCGTCAGCCTGTTTTGAGAAAAACTGTCTATACGATAGATTATATAAGTTGTAAAATTGTATAGTAGTAAATTAAAATGACACGACTTTAGATTTGTCGTATAGAACAATATTCGCAGATTATTTTTGTTATATGTATATTATTAATATAAGTACAAAACATCAGTAAAGTGACATTATCAAAAGGTAAAAGCTTTTACTGTTTAATCCCCGTTGCAAGAAGAATCGTTATCATCATCAGTTTAAAATATCTATTGATTTTTATTTGTTTTATTCAATTAAGAATTGTTATGTTAATGTTAATTTAGAATGTTATCTGTTAAAATAGAATGCATAGTATAGTATTTTTATGTTATAGTATAATAAGGTAAATTATAGTATTGTAATTAAAATAAAAAAGCTTACATATTAATTTATGCATGTGTACAGTATATATTTTAAGAAATTAAATATTATAAGTTGGACACAGATCTAGGCTGGCGCTCGCGTATGAAGAATCCATTGAGTACAATATAGTATATTGTTAAACATGAATCACAAAATAAGAGTCAGATTTCAGACAAACCACTTAGTCACGCTAGTTAATAAAGGTTCAAAAATTGTTCAGTCATAATTTATAAGAAATAGTATTTTCATCAATATACATTTTATAGTTATATTTAAATATTATATATTTCACAGCTCAATCCCATGACAGGTTATCCCGTACAACGTGGAGGGATTATTGTCATTAAGACAAAATTAGAATGTTGTATGAAAACACTCACAATGTGTTCTAAAACTGTACTCGGTCCCGATATATATGATCAGAGGCTTATAAACCATTTCACAGGTGCACAGCCGATACAATTGTACACATTTTATTATCCAGATATTTACAATGACAATGTTATTTAAGAGCTCTCGACATTTCGACGCTGTTACAAACGTACTGATCATCGAGAGCTCTTAAATAATATTACTGTGGTAAAGATCTCGTTCATATATTATACAATTGTAGAGTCGAGCGAAACACAACTCATAAGTGCATCTCTCAAATAGTTTACAGATAACAAAACTATAAATGTCAGTTGGTTTCAAACAGGGATTTAATTGCAACAGTGTTGCACTATTACACCCGCAATAAATTCATAATTCGAAGATAGTGAAACTGACAGATATTCGATTATGCACCAACTATTCCACAGTTTAAGCTGTACAGATTCGATTAAAACTTATCCGATTGGTACAACTTATAAGTGCAATTGCCAAATAGTTCGGATATAATCGCATAAATAGCAGTTCCAAACTGTAATGATTATTGATAGTAATTCCTTGTATATTGAAACAAAGGTGGATGCATAAAAATTTCAACTTTGATTAAATACAATAATAAAAAAGTAAACAACCGTAAAACATCGGATCGCTGCGCTGTTTTTTTCACAGCAAACGAATTCGTCATCATAGGTCAGCTTTTAATCCCCTGTTTTGGTCCGCGCACCAGGGACGCGAGCAATGTATTGGATTTTTTCCATTGTAACTAAGGGATTAGATATTTTTTTATCAACAGTATCAAAAAATATTTGAAATATCGGGACCGATTTCTGTCTTATAACACAGTATTTATTATATTTAACAAATTAATTAGAGTATGAGCGGTGAAGAATTATAAGACTCAAGTTGTGAGTATTCTTCGCTCGCCACATACAAAATAGAAGCGAGAATTTATAGAAAGTATATAAAGAATATAAAAACGAAATAAAAGTCCTGCATTTGGCACGCATATGAGCATTTTATATTTACCTAAATGATACCAAGCTGTGCTTATGTGATAACATTCCAATGTCTCAAACGACATAGGTTGATTAACATCGATAATATCAAACGTATGTTACAAATACACAATATATAAATAATAATAAATTTGTTATTACCAAATACAATTGTAATAACAAAATAAAATAATAAAATGTTGCTAAAATAATATAACGATTACAATCGGAATAGTATTCAATTCCTTTACTCAACTTTTTTAAACTACAACAAATAATATAGTAATTTATTAAAAATCCTTACTTTATTTTCAAACGAATAACATTTTAACTTCGTTAAAATTTATTTTCTACCTACGTTCCTAAAACGAGATATTTTATTCATTTTTGTTTTTATTCCATCACAAATTTGTAAAGAAAATATCTTTGTTGTTTTATTTCATTATACGTTTTAAGACATTCCTTATAAATGTATGAACGCCACGGCTTTGCCAAAATAATCTATTTTATATTTAATTTTAAGTTTTATGTTTTAAGTTGAATGTTCTAAAATTGTTTTCATGAAAGATATGTTTTGCTATATAAATCATATAAGCGGATTCCTGGTATTACAAATATTATATTTTTGAATTTGTTAGTCATAATAATGGCAAAAATAATGGAGACATAAATACAACATTAATATACTTATATCCAAATTTAAATTTAAAATTATCTAATTACAATTAGAGAAATTATTACGATAAAATTAGCTAATGAAAAAATACCGTGACATCAAATACATTTAGTAATAAATATTTTAATACGCTAATTATTATTATTTCACTCTCCCTTTAGTTTGCCTTTCACATTTTAATTATCTTAAGTTTGAAAATAAAATTATACATAGCTCTATCTACGTTTTGACACGCACAGTGTCAAATGCAATTTTAGTTTAACATAATAAAATTTAGGAAGCAAACGTAAAATGGCGACTTATAGCGCCCATTAGATAGATTTATAAAAACTGAAACATATTCTTTTCCATAATTATGAAAGAAGACATAGAATATCAGAGGATTTGATATGTGACCCCAAAATATTACTGATCAGTGATCGAAGGAAGAAGTGCTTATTAACAATGAACATCTATCATGCATCTACAACATTGACACTTAATCTCAAAAAAACCAAACAATCGAGGATATGAGTTCCTATTCAATCCACAGTATCAATAGATTCAGTAACAATATTGAAACATTCTATTTTTTATTAAGGTGATTGGGCTATTGTTGGGCGTTGAGATGCTGTGGCAGTTCGACCTTCGAAGATCTATTGTGCTCGTCTCGTATAGAGTTGGTTACTTACGCCTGTCGAGAATAGAAATTTTAAAATGTTTTCGAAAGCCATAGTTACTATTTCCTTCAGTTGCAATAAGTAGTTACTAAAGGGGTATTATGTTAGAACATGTGCCGTGGATTGGGGATGTCATATAGGTTAATTTCCAAATATCGTTGTTTGAAAGGCTCTATTTAAAAACAGAACTGAGCTAATCTGTACACGAACGGTCTTGTAGTCGACATACTCAAAATATATAACTTAAAAAATTAAGGTACTGGCTACAGTACCTTATTTTTTTAGGTTATACTTTCTGTCAAAGTCTGTGTCTGTGAACTATACCGATCTAGAAATTTGATACATGAAATTTCACTTTCCTAATTTATCATACCCTCGATGTTTAGGTCTGACTATACCAACACTAATGGTTATATATTATAGTAATTTAAAGAGATCGGTGTCGTATCCAGTAGTTTAGAGAGATGGCTTACATAGAAACACACTCGGAGTAATGCAAATTGCACGGTGAATTTCACGGCGTTATTCAAGCTAGCGTAATATTCTGCGAATTAAACTTAGGCGTGTACATAAACCTGCTGTAAGCGAATTAGTGTAGACATGTAGTGCTAAAATGTAGTATTTTACTATTATAATACATTTGGTCGTAAATACATTTTATTTTTATTTTAGTTAAATTATATTCATTATCATATCATCATATATCACGAGGACAATCATAGGCTAACTGTTATCTAAAAAAAATATCTGATGCATAAAACGAGCTACTGTGTTATACATTGAATAGAAAAAACCGTATACAACTATTTGAAGAATTGGTAAATAGGCCATATGTCATCTAAATTATATTATTACATACTATTATTCTATTATTAACAATTGTTTTGAGTATACATTATTATTAAACTATTGGATACGACACCCATGTTTCACACAAGGTATACATGTAACGTCAAAAAGTCCACCGAACATAGCCGAGGACGCAAAACACGATTATATATGTACGTACGCTGCGGTTTTGGGGTTAACATAGAGACAAAATATTCATTAAATGGATTTGGCTGTCAGATTCAATATCGCGGTTATTACACCCGTCAAAACCCGCACACCATTTGAAACGGATAAATGACGTAATTCAATGATCATTGTCTTTATGGAAAAAGGTTACAAACATATTTTACATAACATTACATACATCGTATTCCTGTATAACGTAAAATAACTGATATATTTCTGTTACAAATAATATTTTAACAACTATAAATTTATTTAAATAATGTAAATTTATTTTATATTTAAAATTAATGTATAAATTTAAATAGTTATTATAATTCTACATTTATTTTAAAAGTAGCCGAACACGCGGTGTTTTGACGGGCTGTGAGTTTCATTAGTAGCGGATTCGTGAGCGGACCAATATTGAGGCATTGGTGACATCAATATATATATAAATTATACTATAGAAATTGATATATATATGTAGTACTTGAAAAGTCAGTGTTAGTATTCATGAAAGTTAGAAAGATTTCTCAAAATGCAAAGTTAAAATCTGCTAATTTTTCAGACCCTACATTTAAGGGATGTCCAGAAGTGACATTGACTTTGTTTTAGTAGTTCTATTACGGACAACCCCGTATAAGTTACTATACTATTTAATAGCCACTAGCACTCAAGAAAATTGTCGTCTACGTAAACATAGAGTACCCGTTAATCATCTGCTTTTACTATATCTAATCATTATCGTCATTAGAGTTATAAATAAATAAAATAAAAATTACTATTAGTAATTTATCATGTTTGCCTACCCTGTACAGTCCCTGTAACATGTACGGAACATAAAGAATCACCCACTTCACCGTAGGTCCATTACAAGCGGAGTTTCCCTAAAAAAGCGACGTAAACATTTTTTATTCGACACGGATATGACGATCCAATTACAAAAGTGAATTCACGCAAAGTTGAATATTGTTACGGAGCGTTTATTTTTTATAATAAATTTATAGATGGCGATTTATGGCGCAAAATTGAGCATATCGTTGAGTGAAAAATGAAATTAGACTCTTTTTTAAACCTTTTTAATAATTTTAGTAATGAAGAACATGATTTAATTATAGTTTCGTTATAAATATTCTCATTGCTAGTGGCACAACGGTGTAGGAAGAAAAAACAATGAAATTCGTAATACATAAATTTTATCGCGTATTCTTTATGATGGGGAGCTAAATATTCTTTTAAATTCTGAAAGTAATATATATGAATACATATTGATTTTTATATATAAAATAGTTTAGTTGTTACCAAATGCCGTCAATTGGTCCGCTTCCGAGATCGTTACTAAGAATGTCGATATATGTTTAAACATATTCGGTGTAGAAAGCGTTGCTGGTGCAGTTGCCGTTATCGCGAGGAGAGTCAGGGTGCTCCTCTGGCTCCACTCCGTTGGTGCGCATCTCATCCCGAACCTGGTGACATGATCATTCTTAATTGACTTCATAATAGGAGGGTCTCGACTCGGTTTTATTAATATTCAAGACCTGAGAACTTCTCATTTAAGAATCGATTAGGAAATATTGGTTTAATATTTTAATGCATAGGTATAGATTTGTAGTTTTGTCCCATAGAAGTTTAATCAAAGTCGATCCGTACAGAAACTTATTTAAACTATGGTATACACAAATATATTTTCATAAGATTTCATAAAGTTTATAATATACTAGTAACATTGATAAATAATTATATAATATTTTTGAGATAAAATCAATAAATAAATAAAGATTGTATTTAAAAAAAAATACCTATTAAATTAATATTCATCATAGGAAAGTAAAGGGTGTCTTTCATTTTTGTTATTTCTGTAAATATAATAATAATAATAATAATCTCAGGACAATTCACACAGCACCATCTAGACCCAAGTTAAGCTAGCTAAAGCTTGTGTTATGGGTACTAGATAACTGATACAAATACATAGATATTTTTTTTTCGTAAATACATACTTAATATACATAGAAAACACCCAGACCGACACAAACAATCATACTCATGAATACAAATGTTTGTGCCGTGCGAGGAATCGAACCCGCGACCATCGGACGTAAAGCGGTGTGTTAGACCGCTAGACCACCGAGGTCGTCAATATATACAAATATAAATTGTGAATCACCTTCTCAACTTGGCGCATCACCCTTATCATGTTGAGACCGGCTAGGTTCTTCAGCTCCTGAACGCTCCATTGACCACTGCGCAGCAATTCAGCAAAGAGTTCCGGGTATCTCGACACATCTTCTAGACCACGGGGAACCCTGTTAGTGATGAAATTAAACGTTTTATTCATATTTATTTTTACAAAGGGGTTTTGGGCTATTACTCAATGTTAAAGACTGTAGTACTGCGATCTGTTAGATATATGCCTGTGATATATCTATATTTTAAGCTCGCCACTTTTTTAGTTCGTTGCTTAGGCTTGAAAATTGTCTGCACCTAAGTACATATAATAACAAGCTAAGTAGAGCTATACAACTGATATAAATAATTAAATACAATTTTTTATAAATACATATTATAATATGTATTTATAAAAAAAATGTGATTCTTTAATCATAATCATGTATACAAAATATTTATAACGTGAGAGGATTCGAACTAGCTTTTATCGGAAGTAAATCGGTATGCTGGTCCAGCACTAGCCAGTGGCTACCATGAAACATTTGTATTATATATACAAATATGTATATATGTGAAATGTTTATACTGCTTAGTTTATGAACCGTGAAAATATATTTACCTGTTGACACCATCGTAATCACCACCGATGCCCACGTACTCAGCCCCAATCATCCTCTTGATGTAATGGAAATGTTCTAAGAACAAAATATAATTAATTAACATAAATCATAATTCAACGGAAATACTTGTATATGAACAGAGGCGGCAGTTATCATATTAGCTAAATAATATAACTAATGGTTGCAGCTTTTCTACTCTACTACTCAGACACACTTAAATACTTTAACTTGAACCCTCTAACTGATAGAAGACAAGTACTAAATGTTGTTTCTTTGGAAATTATCTCAATAGTATTATAAGTTCTAGTTGAATCAGTACTGTAAAGCTTTTTTTAATTAAAATGCTAAAGTAATATGTTTTGTTCATTATAAAAAGCACAAAGTCATATAAATGTCGTAGTTGCCAATAAATAAGATTGTACTTAGTACATTAATTACATTGTAATGTGTTACATATAATGTTATTGTGTTTGTGTACAATGTTGGTGATCTGATAAATTAAAAAAAAATCTTTATACAATAAGTATGATATAAACATTTATAAGGCAACTACGAGTAATGTTTACTATTTATAAATAAAAAAAATAAACGTAACGTAAACGAGGCATAAAAACAGATAAAGCCTCCTGGTGCTCTGGATTTTATATTTTTGTACCCCTTTTTTTCATTACAATAGTAGTTCTTACTATTAGCCACGTTTCAATAAATAAACGAACATTTCAACTTTATATCTAATAGAAACACAGAGTTATAAATTATAAAGTTACTTCGCTTATTATGTTATTTGGAAGTGGTGTAGCAAGCGGACTCCTTTGGATTTTCAATAGAAAAATGATTTCACTAGTTTAAAAATGGCACACTATAGAAAACTGACTCGAGTCTGCCTCTAACCCCTTCTCCCCACTCCTCGCCTCCATCCCTGTTGAGCTTTATAAACCGACGGTACCTCAACTATGTAGTTTACAAAGCGCAGATTTAAAAGATTAAACTGTACCAACAAAAGCGATTAAATTTCTCTTAAAAGTAGTGAAAAATCCTGTAGAACCGAGATTGCACTCGGCTTGGTCATGTGGCATTTTCAGCTATTTCAACAAATTTATATCGTTACTACATGTCCAGAGATCTCATAAGTAACACGAAGAGAAATAATATGATTTCAAATTAACTTAACTGAAATCACTTTTGAATAGTAGAATAATAATATTTTATATCGACATATTAATAATACAGAATTAGCTAAGAGGTAACAAGCAAAAGAACGAAAGTTATTAATTTAATTAAAATATGTTAATTTTGAGTTACTTACATTAGTGAATCTGAATGCAAATTAATTTATTTCAATAAATTTCTTTCTAAGTGAATTAGTTAATTTCATGTCGTAGGCACGTTTATAATATAGCTTCATAGAATCAGGTAAGGTAGAATAGTTAGTTTTTTCTCAAGGTTAAATTTTACAAATTTAGCGTTAAATTAGTGGTACAAAGTATCAAATACCATATAAGTCAGTAGTTCCAGTAAACTAAAATTATAAGACATATTTCAGATATCTTGTATATTTGTAACAAAATTAGGAGGCAGTGACCAAAGCAAACCGATCTCTAGACGGAATATGCACGCTCGCTTTTGACAGTATTCATTTGATATGAAATCCAAATTTCTACGGATAGAGGATGTTTAATCTCAAAGGAAGAATAATATTAAATGTAACACTCAGTAGAGTAAAAGATGAGATGATAAACCACTATGACAATATAGAAATATAAATTTGGTTTTACAGATTATACATATGCAAGTAGAAACATGTTTAATTTGAAAAGCGATAAAAAACTTTTGTTAAAATGATATTGTTTAATGATTTATTTAATAAAATAAATTATTTATAAAAGTTAAATGTGGTCACCAATTTAGATTAAATTAGTTTCGCTATATAGTTTATATTTAAATTTAAAAAAGTCTTAGAAATTTGGCCGGTATCAAAAATGTGAATTTCAATTATTATTTCATAAATAAATAATTCTATGCATTTGATGGGCTGATATATAGCTCAATATAAATAATAATTTATGGTCTTCATCTTAGAATTACACAAAAAAATATTATTTTCTTTTTTAATGTTATATTGTATGTAATTTATAGTTACAATAGGCACTGTTTAATTAAAAGATTTAAAAAAGTAAACAATTAAACCGTAGTAGCCATTCAGCAATTGCAGACTGCAGTGGCAGAATTGTTTACGCCTTTGCCTTTCTATTAAAGAGAAAAAGCGGCCCCGCATCACAAGGAAGAAAAATATATCTGAGTTTAACTGTGCAACAACTTTTTTTTGTTTACTATTTCTATACGGACATTTAAATTAAATTTAAATTTTGTATTTAAAGGACAGTACTCATATATAAAATGTAGTTTACTTGCACTGTGAAGAATATAAGTAATAAAAAAAATAGTAACTGTTATATTTATTTAGTGCAATTCCATATTCAGAATTTTGATCTCTGTCGACAAAATATGAATATATAAAGCATATAATTGAAATTAGGTCCATTTGAAGTCCGTCTACGTAAACTTTGATTTAGTATTCAGTACAAGTCTATTTGAGTAAGCCTAGGTTGCTCCTAAACCATGCCGCTTGTATCCTATTTAATATGTAAAAGGGACCCAAGTTAAGGTATTACAAGTAACGTAGATAAAGCATTTAGGCAGATACATTTTAATGTTGCCACATACATTTATAATGAGTTTAGCCTGTTTAACCGACTTTTGAGATAGATAATGCCAATTAAATTGTAATTTTATATTTAATGTATGTTAGTAAATTTGTGAACAAAATTTGAGTTGTCCGAAGTTTACTATCACAGTTGTTTTATTACTACATTACATATTGCAAAACTTAATTTTTGCAATAACTTCTGTTAATATTTTATTCCTTATAAGAAATTTTTCAATTTATTAGAAATCTTAAAATGATTTAAACGTTCCCAGATTGTGTATATATTACAAACATATTTAATTTTAAACAATTGTATGTAAAGCCGAAAGTAGTCATTCATTATTTAGTTTCTGTCAAAACTTGTTCTATTCTACAGTGTAACTGTAAATAGAATAGAACAAGTATAATAAGTAAATAGTCTGAAAACACTGATGAGTGTTGCCAGAGTTTGCATTGAAAAGTTACGAATTGTTCCCGTAAACTAAAGCAATAAAACAAATAATGTTTAGAACCCAGCAGCCATGTTGAGTTATAAAGCCTAGATTTCTATAAATATGATAGTGTGTTGTAAACTCTTAAACCACAGCATTGTGTAGTGATGTGTAGACAGAGTGCAGCTATCGCTCAGTTGAACGGATCGTAACCGGAATTCCTAAAGTTTGGAGTTATGTTCAACAATCCCATACTGTTGGAAATATCGAATAGTTTCTGCAAGTTTCTGCAATTCTGTATTGCCTTTGGTTTAATTACATTTTTACTGTTAAATCTCGTTATTCAAAGAAGAGGACAGCCTAAATTTTGAATATTGGAATTTAATTTTAAACTGTATAGAATTTATGAAATTATTCGATTTAAAAATATTTGGCGCATAATGTCCTTAAATTTTCTTATTCGATACGACCTACATAACAGTTATGATAACTAAGTAGTGGAGTAAGGTAGGGGACATTTACTTCATAATATTTTTTAAATAAATACGGATAATTTTATACGAGATGTAGTACCGTCTATCCTGCCACGACAAGCCGGTCCATAATGAGTCGTTTCTTTGTGAAACGTGACTAAAGAAGGTAAGGATGAACCGTCACTGTTCTTGATAGATGTTGCGTAATGCCGAGTTCTTTGAATATGGTCATAAACAGTATTGTCGCACATTTCTTTCACAGATATTTGGTTTTGCATCGTTGAAGCATGCTAGACTCATCAGGATTAGATAGATCAATGATTTAATTCGTAGAGTCTTTGGGAGTCTTTGAAACTAACATTGTATGCACAAGTTTTAAAAGTGTATATCGATAGAGTATATAAAAGTAAAATAATAAGTAATAGGTACCTATTTCGTAAGCGATAATTTAATTCGTAGCGATAATCTAGCTATTTCGTAAGTAAGTTGATGAAAAATACAGTTTTTTCATGTATTTATTATATAATATATGTATATAATGTACCTTACCTACCGTACCTCTGATAATTAAACTCATTCTTATTTTATTTTCAGTATTATGTATAATATATACATTTTTGTAACCTTACATACGAGATTACAATTGGGTCGAGAGCAATAATTATTCTACTGCTAGAATTAAGTTAGAAATAATTATGTTTGTATCGTGTATTTAAAATATTTACATAAGTACTGAATAAACTGTGTACGATACACGTAAACTATTGAAGAGATACGAAATAAAAACTTTACAGTTTTAATACTCAATGATCGTAATTTCAGAGTAAATTCAAATAAAATATATTTATTTAAAACAAGCAGTCTGGTTTAGAAGGGTAATTTAACAAAAATTACAAAGATACAAATAATTTGAAAAATACTTATTTTGTACTGGCTTTACTAAATTATTGTGAAATAACTGAAATAGTCGGACATATGCTATTACGTCATTTTTTAAATATTTTCATGTCCTCTATAAAACTGTAGTACATAGTTTGCTCTATTGTCAATAATTTATTTGGAGCATATATTTTTTTGGTATATTTTTTTTTCATATATTGGGTTACATTATCAAAGTTTTCATATGGATCTCTAATGTATTTATATACTATATAGATAAATATACTTGATAAAAATATTTTATCAAGTATATTTATCAGGGATAATGTAGAATTTTAATAGTAAAATAATTTTTCAAACAAGTCCAGTTGTTTCGGTGGCCATTCAGTGCAAACAAACAAACAATCCAATCTCTACTCTTCATAGAATAAAATGAGTATTTTGCTTTATTTACACAGCCTTCCTGATAATATTATAATACATGGCCACACTATTAGTGCAGATTGTATATTAATTTGACAAATATGTGACACCCTTGTGGTTGGCTTTGATTGCCTTGTTGCTTACTTGTGTGGACTCAACTCA